TGTATAGTGTAGTAGTGAATAGTGTAGTAGTGTATAGTGTAGTGTATAGTGTAGTGTAGTAGCGTATAGTGTAGAGTGTAGTGTAGTGTATTGTGTAGTGTAGTAGTGTATAGTGTAGTAGTGTGTAGTGTAGTAGTGCATAGTGTAGTGTATAGTGTAGTAGTGTATAGTGTAAAAGTGCATAGTGTGGTAGTGTATAGTGTAGTAGTGTATAGTATAGTAGTGTATAGTGTAGTGTAGTAGTGTAGTGTAGTAGTGTATAGTGTAGTAATGTAGTGTATAGTGTAGTGTAGTAGTGTGTAGTGTATAGTGTAGTGTAGTAGTGTATAGTGTAGTAGTGTATAGTGTAGTAGTGTATAGTGTAGTAGTGTATAGTGTAGTGTAGTAGTGTATAGTGTAGTAATGTAGTGTATAGTGTAGTGTAGTAGTGTAGTGTATAGTGTAGTGTAGTAGTGTGTAGTGTAGTAGTGTATAGTGTAGTAGTGTATAGTGTAGTAGTGCATAGTGTAGTAGTGCATAGTGTAGTAGTGTATAGTGTAGTAGTGTATAGTGTAGTGTAGTAGTGTCGTGTATAGTGTAGTGTATAGTGTAGTGTATAGTGTAGTAGTGTATAGTGTAGTGTATAGTGTTGTGTATAGTGTAGTAGTGTATAGTGTAGTGTAGTAGTGTATAGTGTAGTAGTGTATAGTATAGTGTAGTAGTGTAGTGTATAGTGTAGTAGTGTAGTTTAGTAGTGTATAGTGTAGTGTAGTAGTGTATATAGTAGTGTAGTAGTGAATAGTGTAGTGTAGTAGTGTATAGTGTAGTGTATAGTGTAGTGTAGTAGTGTATAGTGTAGTGTGGTGTAGTAGTGTATAGTGTAGTGTAGTAGTGTATAGTGTAGTGCAGTAGTGTATAGTGTAGTAGTGTATAGTGTAGTGTAGTAGTGTATAGTGTAGTGTAGTAGTGTCTAGTGTAGTAGTGTATAGTGTAGAGTGTATAGTGTAGTAGTGTATAGTGTAGTAGTGTAGTATATAGTGTTGTGTAGTAGTGAATAGTGTAGTGTATAGTGTAGTGTATAGTGTAGTGTAGTAGTGTATAGTGTAGTAGTGTATAGTGTAGTGTAGTAGTGTATAGTGTAGTAGTGTATAGTGTAGTGTAGTAGTGTGTAGTGTATAGTGTAGTGTATAGTGTAGTAGTGTAGTATATAGTGTAGTGTAGTAGTGTATAGTTTAGTGTAGTAGTGAATAGTGTAGTGTATAGTGTATTAGTGTATTGTGTAGTAGTGTATAGTGCAGTGTAGTAGTGTATAGTGTAGTGTATAGTGTAGTGTAGTAGTGTATAGTGTAGTAGTGTATAGCATAGTAGTGTATAGTGTAGTGTAGTAGTGTATAGTGTAGTATAGTAGTGTATAGTGTAGTAGTGTATAGTGTAGTAGTGTATAGTGTAGTAGTGTAGTATATAGTGTAGTGTAGTAGTGTATAGTGTAGTATAGTAGTGTATAGTGTATCAGTGTATAGTGTAGTAGTGTGTAGTGTAGTAGTGTATAGTGGAGTGTAGTAGTGTATATAGTAGTGTAGTAGTGTATAGTGTAGTGTATAGTGTAGTGTGTAGTGTTGTGTAGTAGTGTATAGTGTAGTGTATAGTGTAGTGTGTAGTGTTGTGTAGTAGTGTATAGTGTAGTGCAGTAGTGTAGTAGTGTATAGTGTAGTAGTGTATAGTGTAGTGTAGTAGTGTATAGTGTAGTTTAGTAGTGTATGGTATAGTGTAGTAGTGTCTAGTGTAGTAGTGTAGAGTGTATAGTGTAGTAGTGTATAGTGTAGTAGTGTATAGTGTAGTAGTGTATAGTGCAGTGTAGTAGTGTGTTGTGTAGTAGTGTATAGTGTAGTGTAGTAGTGTGTAATGTAGTGTAGTAGTGTATAGTGTAGTGTAGTAGAGTATTGTGTAGTGTATAGTGTAGTAGTGTATAGTGTAGTGTAGTAGTGTATAGTGTAGTAGTGTATAGTGTAGTGTAGTAGTGTATAGTGTTTAGTGTAGTATAGTAATGTATATTGTAGTAGTGTATAGTGTAGTAGTGTATAGTGTAGTGCAGTAGTGTAGAGTGTAGTGTATTGTGTAGTGTAGTAGTGTATAGTGTAGTAGTGTGTAGTGTAGTAGTGCATAGTGTAGTGTATAGTGTAGTAGTGTAAAAGTGTATAGTGTGGTAGTGTATAGTGTAGTAGTGTATAGTGTAGTAGTGTATAGTATAGTAGTGTATAGTGTAGTGTAGTAGTGTATAGTGTAGTAGTGTAGTGTATAGTGTAGTAGTGTATAGTGTAGTGTAGTAGTGTATAGTGTAGTAATGTAGTGTATAGTGTAGTGTAGTAGTGTGTAGTGTATAGTGTAGTAGTGTATAGTGTAGTAGTGTATAGTGTAGTAGTGTATAGTGTAGTAGTGTATAGTGTAGTAATGTAGTGTATAGTGTAGTGTAGTAGTGTATAGTGTAGTAGTGTAGTGTATAGTGTAGTGTGTAGTGTAGTAGTGTATAGTGTAGTAGTGCATAGTGTAGTAGTGTATAGTGTAGTAGTGTATAGTGTAGTGTAGTAGTGTCGTGTATAGTGTAGTGTATAGTGTAGTAGTGTATAGTGTAGTAGTGTATAGTGTAGTAATGTAGTGTATAGTGTAGTGTAGTAGTGTATAGTGTAGTAGTGTAGTGTATAGTGTAGTGTGTAGTGTAGTAGTGTATAGTGTAGTAGTGCATAGTGTAGTAGTGTATAGTGTAGTAGTGTATAGTGTAGTGTAGTAGTGTCGTGTATAGTGTAGTGTATAGTGTAGTAGTGTATAGTGTAGTAGTGTAGTGTATAGTGTTGTGTAGTAGTGTATAGTGTAGTAGTGTATAGTGTAGTCTAGTAGTGTGTAGTGTATAGTGTAGTAGTGTATAGTGTAGTCTAGTAGTGTGTTGTGTAGTAGTGTATTGTGTAGTAGTGTCGTGTATCGTGTATCGTGTAGTAGTGTAGTGTATAGTGTAGTGTAGTAGTGAATGGTGTCATCTAGTGTTGTAGTGTATAGTGTAGTAGTGTATAGTGTAGTAGTGTATAGTGTAGTAGTGTATAGTTTAGTAGTGTATAGTGTAGTGTATAGTGTAGTAGTGTATAGTATAGTGTAGTAGTGAATAGTGCAGTATAGTAGTGTATAGTGTAGTGTAGTAGTGTATAGTGTAGTAGTTTATAGTGTAGTAGTGTAGTATATAGTGTAGTGTAGTAGTGTATAGTGTAGTATAGTAGTGTATAGTGTATTAGTGTATAGTGTAGTAGTGTGTAGTGTAGTAGTGTATAGTGTAGTGTAGTAGTGTATATAGTAGTGTAGTAGTGTATAGTGTAGTGTATAGTGTAGTGTGTAGTGTTGTGTAGTAGTGTATAGTGTAGTGTATAGTGTAGTGTGTAGTGTTGTGTAGTAGTGTATAGTGTAGTGCAGTAGTGTAGTAGTGTATAGTGTAGTAGTGTATAGTGTAGTGTAGTAGTGTATAGTGTAAATAAGTAGTGTATGGTATAGTGTAGTAGTGTCTAGTGTAGTAGTGTAGAGTGTATAGTGTAGTAGTGTATAGTGTAGTAGTGTATAGTGTAGTAGTGTATAGTGCAGTGTAGTAGTGTGTTGTGTAGTAGTGTATAGTGTAGTGTAGTAGTGTGTAATGTAGTGTAGTAGTGTATAGTGTAGTGTAGTAGAGTATAGTGTAGTGTATAGTGTAGTAGTGTATAGTGTAGTGTAGTAGTGTATAGTGTAGTAGTGTATAGTGTAGTGTAGTAGTGTATAGTGTTTATTGTAGTATAGTAATGTATATTGTAGTAGTGTATAGTGTAGTGCAGTAGTGTAGAGTGTAGTGTAGTGTATTGTGTAGTGTAGTAGTGTATAGTGTAGTAGTGTGTAGTGTAGTAGTGCATAGTGTAGTGTATAGTGTAGTAGTCTAAAAGTGTATAGTGTGGTAGTGTATAGTGTAGTAGTGTATAGTGTAGTAGTGTATAGTATAGTAGTGTATAGTGTAGTGTAGTAGTGTATAGTGTAGTAGTGTAGTGTAGTAGTGTATAGTGTAGTGTAGTAGTGTATAGTGTGGTAATGTAGTGTATAGTGTAGTGTAGTAGTGTGTAGTGTAGTAGTGTATATTGTAGTAGTGTATAGTGTAGTAGTGTATAGTGTAGTAATGTAGTGTATAGTGTAGTGTAGTAGTGTATAGTGTAGTAGTGTAGTGTATAGTGTAGTGTGTAGTGTAGTAGTGTATAGTGTAGTAGTGCATAGTGTAGTAGTGTATAGTGTAGTAGTGTATAGTGTAGTGTAGTAGTGTCGTGTATAGTGTAGTGTATAGTGTAGTAGTGTATAGTGTAGTAGTGTATAGTGTAGTGTATAGTGTTGTGTAGTAGTGTATAGTGTAGTAGTGTATAGTGTAGTCTAGTAGTGTGTAGTGTATAGTGTAGTAGTGTATAGTGTAGTCTAGTAGTGTGTTGTGTAGTAGTGTATTGTGTAGTAGTGTAGTGTATCGTGTAGTAGTGTAGTGTATAGTGTAGTGTAGTAGTGAATGGTGTCATCTAGTGTTGTAGTGTATAGTGTAGTAGTGAATAGTGCAGTATAGTAGTGTATAGTGTAGTGTAGTAGTGTATAGTGTAGTAGTTTATAGTATAGTGTATAGTGTAGTGTAGTTGTGAATTGTGTAGTATAGTAGTGTATAGTGTGGTGTAGTAGTGTATAGTGTAGTAGTGTTGTGTTTAGTGTAGTAGTGGTGATGGTGATGATGTTGCTGATGACGGTGATGATGATGGCCTTAATCTTGGTTATGATGATGCTGATGATAATGTTGGTGATAATGATGGTGATGTTGGTGATGGTGATGTTGGTGATGTTGCTGATGATGGTGATAATGATGGATATAATCTTGGTTGTGATTATGATGATGCTGATGATGGTGATGCTGATGGTGATGTTTGTGATGATGATGTTGCTGATAATGGTGATGGTGATGATTGTGATGGTGGTGCTGGTGATGGTGTGAGTAGGTCTTCCAAGTCAGAAAGGTTTTGGGAGCAGATTCCGGAAAAATCTTTGCTATGAAGGTTCTAAAAAAGGTGAGTGTGTATGTCTATGTGTGTGTGTGTCTATGTCTTGTGGTTTAGTGGTAATTACTTGAAGGTGGAGGGGTTACCAGCCCCTCGCACCCGTCCAGAGCCTGGCACAAGCGTCGTGGTGACATCACCGCCACTTAGTGGCGAATGGTGGTTGTTGTTGTGTCTATGTCTATGTGTGTGTCTACGTGTGTGTGTGTGTCTGTGTGTGTGTCTGTGTGTGTGTCTGTGTGTTAATGTGTGTGTGCGAGTCTACGTGTGTCTATGTGACCGGCTCCAGTTTAACAGCAGATGTCTCACTCCGAATCAGTCAAGCGGCAATATCTTTTCATCGGTTGCGTAACGCTGTGTGGAAGCTACCTGGTCTGTCGCTCCGCACTAAGCTTCAGGTCTTCTCGGCCACGGTCATTCCCTCCGTTCTCTACGCTTGCAAAACGTGGACCCCCCCTAATGGAACATCTTCGCCGGTTAGAAACATTTAGGCTAGCCTGCCTACGATCCATCCTGGGTTTAACCAGGCTGGATTGTGTGAGGAGCTCACAAATCCTTGAAAGATCTGGGCAAGGTCCCATCGGTGAGCTCCTCCGGCAGGCAAGGCTGCGATGGCTGGGTCATGTAGCCCGCATGCCCAGCCACCGCATGCCGAAACAGCTTTTGTTCGGCCGGATCGAGGGGGCTAAGCGGGCGCGGCACGGGCTAGAGAAGAGATGGAGTGACGTGGTACAGGAGGATGTGGAGCTGAGTGGACTTGCCGATGACTGGTACCAGCGGTGTCAAGATCGGCCTCTGTGGAGGAGGCTCGTGAAGGACGCTACTGGGCAGTTGGAGGCAGTCGCCCTCTAACAACAACGGAGGGCGGAGGAGTGACGCTCACAACAACGAGCGGAGCGCCGGATGGCTAAAGCACAGCAGGTTGGCACAGTAGGGGGCACAGGTGGTGCATCAGCCAGTCATCTCAGTCAGTCGACCCGTGGCACCTGGGTCTGCCCCGTGACCTCCTGCCCGCGGGCGTTCGACACTTCACGTGGCCTCAGGGTGCACATAGCCTAGCACAAGCGTCGTGGTGACGTCACCTCCACTTAGTGGCGAATGGCGGTTGTTGTTGTTGTCTATGTGTGTGTGTCTATGTGTGTGTGTTTATGTGTGTGTCTGTGTGTGTGTGTGTCTGTGTGTGTTTGTGTGTGTGTTTATGTGTGTGTGTCTGTGTGTGTTTATGTTAGTGTACGTGTGTGTGTGTGTCTATGTGTGTGTCTGTGTGTGTGTCTATTTGTGTGTGTGTGTCTCTGTTTCTCTGTGTGTGTCTAAGTAGACCAGCATTGTCTGCAACGCCAAGGAGACTGCCCACACTCGTGAGTGTCTGTGTGTCTATGTGTGTGTGTCTATGTGAGTGTCTATGTCTCTGTGTCTGTGTGTGTCTTTGTCTGTGTGTCTGTGTGTTTATGTGCGTATCTGTGTGTCTGTGTGTGTTTATGTCCGTGTGTGTTTATGTGAGTGTCTGTGTGTGTGTCTATGTGTGTGTCTGTGTGTGTGTCTATGTGTGTGTCTGTGTATGTGTCTATGTGTGTGTCTGTGTGTGTGTCTGTGTGTCTGTGTGTTTATGTGCGTGTCTGTGTGTCTGTGTGTGTTTATGTCTGTGTGTTTTTATGTGAGTGTCTGTGTGTGTCTATGTGTGTCTATGTCTGTGTGTCCGTGTTTGTCTATGTCTGTGTGTCTGTGTGTGTCTATGTGAGTGTGTGTGTGTGTCTGTGTGTGTCTATGTCTGTGTGTCTGTCTGTGTGTGTGTATGTCTGTGTATGTGTATATGTGTGTGTGTGTCTATGTGAGTGTGTGTGTGTCTATGTGTATCTATGTGTGTCTATGTGTGTCTATGTCTGTGTGTGTCTATGTGTAGTTTATGTTTGTGTGTGTGTCTGTGTGTCTATGTGTGTGTGTGTCTGTGTGTGTGTGTCTGTGTGTGTCTGTGTGTGTGTCTGTGTGTGTCTCTGTCTCTCTGTGTGTGTCTAAGTAGGCCAGCATTGTCAGCAATGCCAAGGACACTGCCCACACTTGGGAGTGTGTGTGTGTCTGTGTGTGTGTCTATGTGTGTTTATGTGTGTGTCTGTGTGTGTTTTTGTGTGTGTCTGTGTGTGTGTCTATGTGTGTTTATGTGTGTGTCTGTGTGTGTTTATGTGTGTGTGTCTGTGTGTGTTTATGTGTGTGTGTCTGTGTGTGTGTGTCTGTGTGTGTCTATGTGTGTGTCTGTATGTGTTTATGTGTGTGTGTCTGTGTGTGTTTATGTGTGTGTGTCTGTGTGTGTGTGTCTGTGTGTGTCTATGTGTGTGTCTGTATGTGTTTATGTGTGTGTGTCTGTGTCCTGCAAAACAACCCCCTACCTCCTCGCGGTGCCGGACGGGCAACTCTGTCGTGGACAGCGCTGTGGGGGGAGTTCCAATTTTGATTGGCTCCTCCCCTCATGGCATATGTGTCCACCACAGGGGCTAAACGGGGGCTCTGGACGGGTGCGAGGGGCTGGTAACCCCTCCACCTTCAATTAATTACCACAAAACCACGAATTAAACTGAAATATGTAACAACTAAGCTTGTGCCGGAGGCCCCGGGGGGCCAGGCGTCTATGACTTCTCCTGGCCAAACCCCAATTGGCGGAGCCAGGAGATTGAATACCTACCCTCGGGGCTACTCCAGAAACAACGAAAAGCCACTACGGGTGGCCACGTGGAATGTTCGAACGCTCACTGCAGAGGAGAGGCTGCCACTCCTCTGTCGGGAGCTGGACCGGTACCGCCTGGATCTATGCGGCATTCAGGAGGTCCGGTGGACCGGCTCTGGCTCCTGCCACCATGAGGGGTGGACAGTCCTCTACTTGGGGCAGCAGACTGCCAAACAACAGGGTGTGGGTCTTCTTTTGAACAAAAGAATGAAGGGGGCGTGGGAGCATGGCGGTGAGGTGTGGGAAGCTGTAAGCCCCAGGCTACTTTGGGCTCGCCTTCCCATCAACCGGAGGCGAGGAATGGTGGTCGTGGTTACTTATGCCCCCACCGAAGATGAACATCCGTGGAGGGATGCAGGCAAAGCCGATGAGTCAGATGCCTTCTATGACCTCCTGTCACAGGTGCTGGCTAAAGTGGCCCCTCGGGATAGAGTCATCATGTTGGGTGACTTCAATGCCCGAGTTGGTCATGATACTGGCACCTGGTCTGGAGTGATTGGAGGGCATGGGCCAGATCAGCTCAATAACAACGGTAGGAGGCTGCTAGATTTTTGTGCAGCCCATGGGCTTGTAATTACCAACACGCTGTTCCGGCATCGGCGCATCCACACAACATCATGGATGCATGCCGGGTCCAAGCAAGAACATCTGCTGGACTACATAGTGACGGACCAGCGAATGCGAGCCCATGTCCTTGACACCAGGACCTACCGTGGAGCTGATCGGCCCTCTGACCATCGACTAGTAATCTGTAAGATGCGCCTGCCATTCTTCCACTCCGGTGGTGGGTGTACACCCAGGACCCCATTCCAACCTAAAGTGGCCTGGTCTCAGTTATCTGATGAAAGTTGCAAGCGAGAATTTCATCATCGCTTGCGGCTGGGATTGGCATCGTCCCCGACTCCTCCTGATGTCGAGGGTAAATGGGCGAGGTTTAGGACTGTGACTCATGCAGCTGCAATGGCTGCTTTGGGTACGCGGTCCAGACCTCCCCAGACACCATGGATGACAGAGGAGTTGTTCAGGATGGTTGAGAAAAAGCGACAGGCCCACTGTCATCGGCTACAGAATCCCACGTCAGAGAATGAGGAGGCTTACCGCAGCCTTCGCTCGGAGGTTCGGAGAGCCGTGAGGCGCTGCAAGGATGGGTGGTGGTCGCGGGTTGCTGAGGAGATGGAGTCTGCCTCAGTGGCTCGTGATCACAAATCTCTATTTAACTCCATCAAAAAAGTAACCTGCAGCGCCACACCTATTACCATCATTAGGGGAAAAAACGGTGATCCAATTTTCGACCCCCAGGAACAGGTTCGCAGATTTGCTGAGCATTTCTGTGAGGTCCTGGGGGAGGGAAAATCCCTCAGCCAGGAAAACATCGTGGTACAAAGTGAGGATGACCCTGCTGAGGCTGCGGTGCCTCAAATATTGGATGAAGTCACCCCCTGTGAGTGGCTGGCTGAGGTGCCATCTGCTGAGGAAGTATTGAAGGCGATCCGGAGTCTGAGACCAGGAAAGGCAGCGGGCAGAGATGATCTCCCAAGCGAAATGCTGAGGGAGGGTGGCGTTTGTGCACAGACTGCCCTATATGACATCATAACAACAGTCTGGACCACTGGACGGGTTCCGCAGGATTGGAAGGATGCCCTGGTGGTCCCCCTTTTTAAGGAGGGGGACCGCACAGACTGTAACAACTACAGGGGCATCTCACTCCTCAGTGTGCCGGGAAAGGTCCTGGCAAGGATTATTCAGCATCGCCTTGCCAGGCACGCTGAGGAGAGGCTTGCGGAGCCCCAATGCGGTTTCAGGAAAGGGCGGTCCTGCACAGATGCCAGATTTTCTGTCCGTCTGCTACAGCAGAGGTGTAGGGAATTCCAACTAGACCTACATCTCTGCTTTATTGACCTGGTCAAGGCCTATGATACCATCAGTAGGCCTGGGCTCTGGGTCGTTCTTCGTGCTTTTGGAGTACCTGACCCTCTGCTCACGATCATTAAGGACCTTCATGATGGTGAGCGGGCCCGGGTAAAACTACGTGGCCGGGAGTCAGAGCCATTCCCTGTACACCTTGGGGTGCGACAGGGATGTCCTCTGGCTCCCACATTATTTAACATCTATTTTGACCACGTAGTTCGTGAAGCCTTCAATAGCTGTACCGGGGGAATCTCCATATGGTACAGATATAATGGGAGGCTAATCGATGCCCGGGTGCGGTCAAGGGATGGCTCCCTATTGCTCAACCACGTTATGTATGCTGATGACTTGGTAATAGCTGCTCAGTCAGAGGAGGAGTTGGAGACGCTGCTGCTGAGACTGGAGCGTGCCACTAAGAGGTGGGGCCTTATCCTCAGCCCCACCAAAACTAAGCACCTGCCTGGGTATTTTGTACCATCGGACACTCCACCCCCACAACTCCCAATCGGTGATGGGGCAGTTGTGGAGAGAGTGGAGAGTTTCCCATACCTGGGCAGTGTGCTTATGACTGGCTCCAGTTTAACAGCAGAGGTCTCACTCCGAATCAGTCGAGCGGCAATATCTTTTCATCGGTTGCGTAACGCTGTGTGGAAGCTACCTGGTCTGTCGCTCCGCACTAAGCTTCAGGTCTTCTTGGCCACGGTCATTCCCTCCCTTCTCTACGCTTGCGAAACGTGGACCCCCCTAATGGAACATCTTCGCCGGTTAGAAACATTTAGGCTGACCTGCCTACGATCCATCCTGGGTTTAACCAGACTGGATTGTGTGAGGAGCTCACAAATCCTTGAAAGATCTGGGCAGGGTCCCATCGGTGAGCTCCTCCGGCAGGCAAGGCTGCGATGGCTGGGTCATGTAGCCCGCATGCCCAGCCACCGCATGCCGAAACAGCTTTTGTTTGGCCGGATTGAGGGGGCTAAGCGGGCGCGGCACGGGCTAGAGAAGAGATGGAGTGATGTGGTACAGGAGGACGTGGAGCTGAGTGGACTTGCCGATGACTGGTACCAGCGGTGTCAAGATCGGCCTCTGTGGAGGAGGCTCGTGAAGGATGCTACTGGGCAGTTGGAGGCAGTCGCCCTCCAACAACAACGGAGGGCGGAGGAGCGACGCTCACAACAGCGAGCGGAGCGCCGGGTGGCTAAAGCACAGCAGGTTGGCACAGTAGGGAGCACAGGTGGTGCATCAGCCAGTCATCTCAGTCAGTCGACCCGTGGCACCTGGGTCTGCCCCGTGACCTCCTGCCAGCGGGCGTTCGACACTTCACGTGGCCTCAGGGTGCACATAGCCTGGCACAAGCATCGTGGTGACGTCACCGCCACTTAGTGGCGAATGGCGGTTGTTGTTGTTGTTGTTGTGTCTGTGTGTGGTTATGTGTGTGTCTATGTGAGTGTGTGTGTCTGTGTGTATGTCTGTGTGTGTGTCTGTGTGTGTGTCTGTGTGTGTTTATCTGTCTCTCTGTGTGTGTCAAAGTAGGCCAGCATTGTCTGCAACGCCAAAGACACTGCCCACACTCGTGAGTGTGTGTGTGTGTCTATGTGTGTGTCTATGTGTGTGTGTCTATGTCTGTGTTTATGTGAGTGTGTGTGTGTCTATGTGTGTGTCTATGTGTGTGTCTAAGTAGGCCAGCATTGTCTGCAACGCCAAGGACACTGCCCACACTTGTGAGTGTGTGTGTGTCTATGTGTGTGTGTCTATGTGTGTGTTTGTCTGTGTGTGTGTCTATGTGTGTCTGTGTTTATGTGAGTGTGTGTGTGTGTCTATGTGTGTGTTTCTGTGTGTGTGTGTGTGTCTGTGTGCGTGTCTCTGTCTGTGTGTGTCTTTCTGTCTCTCTGTGTGTGTCTAAGTAGGCCAGCATTGTCTGCAACGCCAAGGACACTGCCCACACTCGTGAGTGAGTGTGTGTGTGTGTCTGTGTGTGTGTGTCTGTGTGTGTCTGTGTGTTTATGTGTGTGTGTGTGTCTATGTCTGTGTTTATGTGAGTGTGTGTCTATGTGTGTGTCTATGTCTGTGTTTATGTGAGTGTGTGTCTATGTGTGTGTCTATGTGTGTGTCTATGTGTGTGTCTAAGTAGGCCAGCATTGTCTGCAACGCCAAGGACACTGCCCACACTCGTGAGTGTGTGTGTGTCTATGTGTGTGTTTATGTGAGTGTGTGTCTATGTGTGTGTCTATGTGTGTCTTTCTGTCTCTCTGTGTGTGTCTAAGTAGGCCAGCATTGTCTGCAACGCCAAGGACACTGCCCACACTCGTGAGTGTGAGTGTGTGTGTGTCTGTGTGTGTGTCTCTGTCTGTGTGTGTCTATGTGTGTGTGTCTGTGTGTGTCTGTGTGTTTATGTGTGTGTGTGTGTCTATGTCTGTGTTTATGTGAGTGTGTGTGTCTATGTGTGTGTCTGTGTGTGTCTATCTGTCTCTCTGTGTGTGTCTAAGTAGGCCAGCATTGTCTGCAACGCCAAGGACACTGCCCACACTCGTGCTGAGCGCAGCATCTTGGAGATGATTCAGCATCCATTCATAGTAGACCTGGCGTATGCCTTCCAGACGGGCGGAAAACTCTACCTGATACTGGAGTTTCTCAGTGGTAAGACTCACTAGGCACTACTAACTATTCTCTATTCACTAATCACTATTCACTAGTCACTACTCGCTAGTCACTATTCACTATTCACTAGTCACTACTCACTATTCACTAGTCACTACTCGCTAGTCACTATTCACTATTCACTAGTCACTACTCGCTAGTCACTATTCACTATTAACTAATCACTATCACTATCACTACTCACTATCACTACTCACTATCACTACTCACTAGTGACTATTCACTATTCACTAGTCACTACTCGCTAGTCACTATTAACTACTCACTATTAACTACTCACTATTCACTAGTCACTACTCACTAGTCACTAGTCGCTATTCACTACTCACTATTCACTACTCACTATTCACTAGTGACTACTCACTATTCACTACTCACTATTCACTATTCACTAGTGACTACTCACTATTCACTACTCACTATTCACTAGTCACTATTCACTACTCACTACTCACTATTCACTACTCACTACTCTCTAGTCATTATTCACTACTCACTAGTCATTATTCACTATTCACTACTCACTATCACTACTCACTATTCACTACTCACTATTCACTAGTCACTAATCACTATTCACTACGCACTAGTGACTATTCACTAGTCACTACTCGCTAGTCACTATTCACTATTCACTAGTCACTAGTCACTACTCACTAGTCACTATTAACTACTCACTATTCACTAGTCACTACTCACTATTCACTAGTCACTACTCGCTAGTCACTATTCACTAGTCACTACTCGCTAGTCACTATTCACTACTCACTATTCACTACTCACTATTCACTACTCACTAGTCATTATTCACTATTCACTACTCACTACTCACTATTCACTAGTCACTACTCACTATTCACTAGTCACTATTCACTATTCACTACTCACTAGTCACTACTCACTATTCACTAGTCACTATTCACTACTCACTAGTCACTAGTCACTACTCACTATTCACTAGTCACTATTCACTACTCACTAGTCACTAGTCACTACTCACTATTCACTAGTCACTATTCACTACTCACTAGTCACTAGTCACTATTCACTACTCACTATTCACTAGTCACTACTCACTAGTCACTATTCACTAGTCACTACTCACTGTCACTATTCACTATTCTCTACTCACTATTCACTACTCACTAGTCACTAGTCACTATTCACTAGTCACTACTCACTGTCACTATTCACTATTCTCTACTCACTATTCACTACTCACTACTCACTATTCACTAGTCACTACTCACTAGTCACTATTCACTAGTCACTATTCACTAGTCACTACTCGCTAGTCACTATTCACTATTAACTACTCACTATTCACTACTCACTACTCACTAGTCACTATTCACTACTCACTATTCACTACTCACTAGTCACTATTCACTACTCACTATTCACTAGTCACTATTCACTACTCACTATTCACTAGTCACTATTCACTACTCACTAATCACTATTCACTACTCACTAGTCACTACTCACTAATCACTACTCACTATTCACTACTCACTATTCACTACTCACTAGTCACTATCACTATTCACTAGTCACTATTCACTAATCACTATTCACTAGTCACTACTCACTAATCACTATTCACTACTCACTATTCACTATTCACTACTCACTATTCACTAGTCACTATTCACTAGTCACTAATCACTATTCACTAATCACTATTCACTATTCACTAGTCACTACTCACTATCACTACTCACTATTCACTAGTCACTATTCACTAGTCACTAGTCACTATTCACTACTCACTAATCACTATTCACTACTCACTATTCACTGTTCACTATTCTCTACTCACTACTCACTATTCACTAGTCACTACTCACTATTCACTACTCACTACTCACTATTCACTATTCACTACTCACTACTCACTAGTCACTACTCACTACTCACTATTCACCATCACTAGTCACTATTCACTACTCACTAGTCACTATCCACTACTCACTATTCACTATTCACTACTCACTATTCACTAGTCACTATTCACTATTCACTACTCACTATTCATTATTCACTATCACTATTCACTAGTCACTATTCACTACTCACTATTCACTACTCACTATTCACTACTCACCATTCACTAGTCACTATTCACTATTCACTAGTCACTATTCACTACTCACCATTCACCATTCACTAGTCACTACTCACTATTCACTAGTCACTATTCACTATTCACTACTCACTAGTCACTGTCACTATTCACTACTCACTAGTCACTATTCACTAGTCACTACCACTAGTCACTACTCACTAGTCACTATCACTATTCACTACTCACTAGTCACTATTCACTACTCACTAGTCACTATTCACTAGTCACTATCACTATTCACTACTCACTACTCACTATTCACTAGTCACTATTCACTATTCACTAGTCACTATCACTATTCACTAGTCACTACTCACTATTCACTAGTCACTATTCACTAGTCACTACTCACTATTCACTACTCACTAGTCACTATTCACTATTCACTAGTCACTATTCACTAGTCACTATTCACTACTCACTATTCACTAGTCACCACCACTAGTCACTACTCACTAGTCACTATCACTATTCACTACTCACTACTCACTATTCACTACTCACTATTCACTACTCACTATTCACTACTCACTATTCACTAGTCACTATTCACTAGTCACTAGTCACTATTCACTACTCACTATTCACTACTCACTATTCACTACTCACTATTCACTAGTCACTATTCACTAGTCACTAGTCACTATTCACTACTCACTATTCACTATCACTATTCACTAGTCACTATTCACTATCACTACTCACTATTCACTATCATTACTCACTACTCACTATCACTAGTCACTATTCACTAGCCACTAGTCACTAGTCACTAATCACTAGTCACTACTCACTATTCACTAG